TTAACTACTATTTAGCCTATGGGATTTAATTGATTTACTCGATGCTGACGAGAAACTGGCATAACCTACTGTTGTATGACCCTCGAGTCCATAGAATTAGGTCAATTATTGTCATCGTGAGATTTCCGCTTCTGAGGTCTGCGGGACGATGTACCTAGTATGGTCGTTTCCAAGCATTCTTTTGGATAGAGCTTTTCGCCGTATTCAGGGGTGGATTTTTTCAACTGCCTCTCCTTGTTTATAACCTAGATGCACCGTACAAATCGAAATGCCGAAACTAGTCGGCCTATGTCAGTTTATGGGTCCGCCTTCCCAGCTTATAATCTAGTAAAGAAAAGTCCTAAACTTAACGACGGCTCTAGAGATAATTATAATGATTGTGACACTATAGGCCAATATTGGTCACGGTTCATTTTCTAAAGAAGCCTAGTTTTTTTAATTCTCTTGGTAAAATGGTAAGCATATCCTCGCTGTGGTCAGCCAGACGCGTATGAAACAGCCTTTGTCGGTTTAACTACTATTTCACAATTTTTCACTGTTTTACATTATTATGTTTAGATAAAAACATAACAGGTGTAGTGAATTTTTGTTTCAAACTGACAGTAAAATCAATACATCAAAGGATGTAGCTTATGGGAAATTCACTCATACTTCAAAGAGACATCCAAAGGAAACTCATCAAAGTGAAACAAGTCCAAAGTATTAATTAAGAAAACGTTTTGTAAATATCAGGGTTCAAGAGAAATTGGTTTGAAAATAAAACATAAATGCTAGTTGTTTAAAGAGAAACTCTGCCTGGTTAGTGACAGTGGTCAAATAACATGTTCCGCGAGGAAAGATCTTCGAACTCAATTTGAAGTTTTAATTTCTAAAATTATATTGTATTAGTAACAAATAAGTGGATTTTTTTTTATATTTAAAACGAGATTATTCTCTGACGTTAATTTTCATATCCAGTATTTTATTTTTGATAAAATAAGTATCGTACTTTTTGACAACCAGAAAGCGAAATGGTCGAAATTCTTCAGTGAAAACGATACCTTTGGGGATCGGAACAAGACGGAGAAGATGTGATGTAAATATTCTTGCTTTCACTTTCCAGAATCGCTTTCTCCAGTGTCTATTTCCAAGGTGAAGTTGCTCAAAGGTACTTTCTTTCCCCTCGTTATTTCTTATTTACCATTCGGTAAAAACATATTCTTTTGAGATATTGAAATATTTCGGACGCTGTATTGAGTTGATTATTTTTATAAAATGGGCTTTACAGTTATACTGTTTTCTGATTTCCCAGTAGTTAGGTGAGTTACCTATTTAGGAATAAATTTGGTTTATGTATTATTATATATATATATATTTTTTTAATAAATGCTCGGGGCCCTACTTGATAATTTGCATAACAAATTGATTTAATCCCTAAGGTTTTCATGGACTGCAGGGTCATATTTTATTTCCTGATTTATATTTAAATCTGCACACGTACATACACATACGAGTACAGAGTGGAGCCAATCATTTCCCGCAGCCAACCGGCAATTCCAACTTATGTAAGTTACAATAAATTATCGGCAGGCCCCGAGAATCACCAACGTAACCGGTAATGGCGGTCTGGAGTTAGAGCTCAGCCGCATCCATCCAGATGCCGAGGTTCTTCCAGGCGTTATCAATAGCGAGGTCATTTCAGCCCCCAATTCATGCAGTTCCTAAATCCGAACCCATTCACTCTTAAATACGTTATTTCTTATTTACATACCACTTAGGGCAGTGGAGTATTCGAAATTCCTCCATCACTACACTTTATAACTTGTTAATTGGGGTTGATGGGGCATTCAATATTCCATAGGTTCTCTCACGCATTCGCGCTAATAAATGCATGAACTCTCAACGCACATAGGGTACACAAAAATATCAGCACTGTATACAATAAAACAACCCTGTTTCCTCCAAGAATTCCACGGGATTCAGATGCTGCCTGCTCAACCATAATTCTTATATCGGGTGGTATTCCTACGCGCGTACTATATAGAACCAATGAATTGCACCCTTCAATTAGGTAGGATTCACTACTCGCTTCGGCTATATAACTACACAATTGGGGGTAGATGAGGTACTCAATATTCCATCGGCCCTCTCACACTACACATTCGCGCTAATAAATACATTAACTCACAACGCACACTAGAATCAACAATATCAGCACTATAAACCAATAAAACAACCCTGTTTCCTCCCGAAACAGGGGATTCAGATACTCGCTGCCGTGTTCAATCACAATTCTTATGTAGGGAGGTATTCCTACGCGCTCACTATATAGAACCAAAGAATTGCACCCTTCAATTTGGAAGGACACACTAGTCGCTTCGGCGGTACATATACTAAAATTAAAACTAGTCATTTATTATTGATTTATTCAAAGAGGAAACCCGTAAAAAATTGAATTTCGAGAATATCTTGAATATCTTCAGTGAGGTCACAACAGAAACGTCAAACTCTTTAAGTCTTTGCCAAGCTTTCGACAATTATATCGTCATCATCAGGGCCTATTTATTTTGCTAAAATAAATAGGCCCTGATGATGATATAATCGTCGAAAGCTCGGCAAAGACTTAAAGAGTTTGTCGTTTCTGTTGTGACCTCACTGAAGATCCTTTTGTTCAAGTTGTTCAACAAGCAGGTCGATACATCATTTCATCTTTAATTTCGAGAATATATTATAATGAATTATTGTACAATGAAATAAAACGATTCATCACGATCATTAAAAGTTATGAGTGCTTAAAAAAAGCACGGTCATATTCCTATCAAGTAGGAGGGCTTTACACACCAGAATTCTTATAATTCCCGTCCAACATAGCCAACTTTCCAATTGTTGCAACACTATTTCGAGATTTTACTTCAGTATTTATTATTTATCTGCTGATTCAAAAATTCAATTCGTTCTTTATTATTTCCAACCGCGTTACAATGAAAAATTGACACACAAAAAAAGTAAAATGTCTGATTATGGAACTAAAATTGCAAATAAAAACCGGTTCTTTTGGATAGTTGTTTATTTCTTTATGTTTCAACTTAGAACAAATAGCAGATTGTAGTTTGGAAGTTATCGGGTCAAAAGCTGAAAAGATTTTGAGAGAGACGATATTTCGAAACTGCCAGAAAGATGGCATAATCTAACAAAGAAAACCGATAATTTTAGTCTAGCTATCCTCGGTGTTTTGATATACCTTTTTTCCCTTATCTTTTTTTAATGAAAACTTAAATTGTAAGTTTTTATCTCAACCAATACCTTACATAAAGATTAATTAATTGAAAGAAGTTATTTGGTCAATCGGACCACGAAATATAATGGATTAAATTGTAAGCTTTCCACTTGAGGTCTGCCTCTGATGTGATGAAACCGATTTTGGTCTATATCCTCGTTGTTTTGATCTATCACATGGACTTCGACTTCTCGCCATCATCGGAGGTGGGTTGTTCTGTTTTTTCTAATAAAACCCTAAATTGTAAGATTTCCTCTTGAGGTCTGCCAATACGGGTATTGAAACCGAATTTGGTCTAGCTATCCTCGATGTTTTGAGCTGTCAATGGCGTTTCGTCTTCTCGCCATCCTCGGTGGTTGGTTGTGTTATTTTACTTATTTGACGAAGAACTAACTGGTGTGATAGACAGGGTGATCTTTTTGCTTGTCTATAACCCTAATGCCACGAACTTCCAAAACCAACCCGACCAAATAGAAATCACAACCTGTCTGACAGACGAAACTACGATGATATACCCACCAAAATGATCAAAAATGTCTTTACTATTGAGTAATTTATTTGGGATGAAGGATATAAGCAGGGAGAGGCAGGTGCACAAACCTAGCACCTAGCATATATTTATAAAAATTCTGTCAATTTTAAATATAATACTAACCTACAAAGAGATTTCCACTTAAGGAACTCTTTAAAAAGAATTGTTTTGTCGAAGCTGTTAAAAGTACATAAAACTTTTGTTTGGCTGTTTCTGATCATTTTTATCTGCCTGACGGACCTTTTGAAAGCATTTTGGCTTCTCGTCATCTTCAATGCATGGTATTAAGGTTATAAGCTGAGGCATTCTGTGGGCATATCAAAATGATCTTGATCTGTAAAGGCCTAACTACAGTTCCAACACATTACAGATGTAAAAAGGAAACTAGCAATTTCCACCAACTATTGATTAATTTATTTGGTTCAAGGATATAAGCAGGGAGTGGCAAGCACACAAACCTAGCATTGAATATGACTGTTGATATTGATAAAAGTTCAATCAATTGTAAATAATGTCCTAGGGGTACCGTTTAGCCAGGTACATTTTGTAAGTACCTGGCATTTGGGTTATAAGCAGGGAGAGGCTAAGCAGAGGTGATCAGCTCTTTGTCTTCCCTTATCTGTCAATCATTCAACTGGGTTTTCGATAGTGTGATAGTATAAAAACCCACTCTGAAAAGGGCGAGAAGCCAACGTGCATCTGGTAAACCAAACCAGCAAGAATAGCCTGACCAAAATGACCTGAGATTACTAAACTACAGATTCGTCACTCCACAGGTGATAAGAGGAAATTTCAAAAATTAACAGATGGCCAGTGCACATACAAATGAGAGTAGTGTAGAATTAATTTTACAAATAGACTTGCACCTAATCGACAAAAATTAATAGTTATCTCGAAATTAATCTCTGAGGTGAATATCAGAAATTATGTAATAAAAGCCACCTTGTTACATAAATGGCAAACATGCCTAACTAATCATATAAGTTTTGGAATTCCTCAGTTTTACTCACTGAAGTTCTAAAAAATTATCTATATTGTAGATTTGTACAGGAAAATTGCATAAAAGACCTTTTTTTATTTTAATATATTTCTAACTTTTTAATTTCTAAATATTAATGCGAATTCTAAGAAATCAAATTTGAAAATGATTTGAAAATCTAAGATGGGACTTCAAATTTTTTGTTACTTACTTTCCCTTTGTGTAATTTTCAGGGAGGCGGCGAATAATGAAAGGAGTTTCTGGTAGCTTCAGGGCCGGCCAACTGACTGCCATCATGGGTCCGTCTGGAGCTGGAAAATCGACCCTCATGAACATTCTTGCCGGATATGTGTAAGATGTGATTATTTGGCTTATATTTCAAGGAGAGGGCTTAACAAGAATGACATACTGTTACAAATAGTATTTGGAACTAGCTGGGTGAGGGTGGAAGATTCCTTTAGTTTTTCCCTATCGCTTTCGAGCTATTATTTCCATTGATTAAAATTAAAATCATCATCAATTTCTTCTTATATTTGTTAATCTCAGACAATAATTATCCATTTATATTCCAGAACTGTAGGCGTTAATGGTATAATCACCACAAATGGAGAGCCAAGAAATTTGGCAAATTTCAACAAAATGTCGGTGTACATAATGCAAGAAGATTTGCTTCAGCCTTACTTGACCGTGCGAGAAAGCATGGAGTTGGCGGCGCGATTGAAACTCGGCAGCAAATACAGCTCGGAGCAAATTTTTCAAGTTGTATGTACAATCTCTTCTAATTGTAGATGATCAAGCAGTTAATTTTTTTTTCTTGTTTCAGGTGGATGATCTGTTAACCACCCTTGGCCTGTGCAAATGTGCAGACAACTGGACAAACCGGTTATCAGGAGGACAAAGAAAAAGAGTCTCAGTTGCTCTTGAAATTGTCCATAACCCCCCAGTTATATTTTTGGATGAGCCCACCACGTTAGTATGCACAAATTGACAATTTTCTTACTAAATGCAGACTGTATAAAATGTTTATTCCTTATTGCAAAACATGATTGTATTGTCTGCATGTTGCTGAACATCTGTTTGCTGCTTTTTAGTGTTAGACAATCTTGGTGCGTATTCTTGCTGTAAGTGTCTGTAACGCACTTTTCTGTATTTCACCATCTTCCATGATTCTACTAATTATTGCCAGTTTCATCTATGAACAGAAAAACAACTCCACCTTAAAGGGTAAAGGTCTGTTAAACAGAGTCAGGTGAAATATGGTGAACTGCTGAAACTTACAGTATGCTGTCAACACATACAGCGAGGTTAACCACTGAGGACAGTCCTATTTTTAATATATTCTGTCACAAACTTGTTTTTTGTTTTAGAGGGTTGGATATTGTGACTATAAATCAAACAGTGCAACTTCTCCGTCTACTTGCAAAGCAGGGCCGGACTGTCGTTTGCACTATTCACCAGCCGTCAGCCTCTTTGTTCCATTTGTTTGACCGAGTCTACATGTTAGCGAGAGGGAAGTGCATCTACCAAGGTGTACCGGGGCAACTTGTGCCTTTTCTGTCGTCGACTAACCTCGAATGCCCTCAGAATTACAATCCTGCTGATTACAGTATGCAGTCAAGATATTTGTCAAATTTTGTTTAAAAATAATCAGTTGTTTTTCAGTACTGGAAGTCCTACAGGTGGACATAATTGACAAACTCTGTGAATCAATACAGAATGGAAAAGTTGTTAAAGCAGCACCTCTGGCCCTTTGTGAAATAGGTTAATTTTTCCTCCCCTAGGCCATTCCCATTAAATTTTTAAGTTTTATTTCTTTTGCAGAACTTGCTGAAAAGACCAAAGTGGGTATTCATAAAAAATCAGATTTCCTGACATTTCCCAACTCATTCTGGACACAGTTCGTTCTTATATTTAGTCGTATGATATTGCAGAAGAAAAGACATGTTGTACGTATATATTTTTCCTATGTAAAATGCATCTTCTATGAGAAATCATTTTGTAATTTGGAGATTTCTGATCATTTTGGTTTGCCTATTCTTGCCGTTGTTGGTCTTTCAGATGTGTTTCAGCTCATCATCTTCAACAGTGGGTTTTTATTAGTTGAATGACAGGCAAGTGATGAAAATCTGTTCTTTGCAATTGTAGTCAACACCATAAACTTATAAAAAGAACTTGACATTGACGATGGCTAGTTGCAGAACGCATCTGATGTACTCTAACAGCAAAGAAAATCTTATTGAATGATCAGAAATGACCAAACTACATTTTTTCATCCTCAGATCCAAAAGAGGAAATATCACAAGAAATTATGTTTCAGGCAGGGCTGTGGCTCCAATTTATCCATCATTTATTTTCTGGCCTGATTATTGGCTTGATATTCAGAGGAGTAGGAAACGATGCTAGTCGACCTTTTGACAACTTTAAATTTATACTTTGTGTTTCTGTATTTTTTATGTACACACACTGCATGACACCGATTCTAACATGTAGGTCAAATCAAACAATCTTAATATTACAACAAACTTTATTTTTATTTTTATTTTTATTTTTAGATCCATTAGAGATAAAAATAATGAAAAGAGAATTTTTCAACCGATGGTATAGCTTGAAGGCTTATTATTTAGCGAAAACCCTTTCAACGTTGCCGTTAATCATTTCCCTTGGTTTTGTCTTTACTTGCATTGTGTACGTCATGTCGGATCAGCCTTTGGAGCTGAAGCGGTTTTCTTGGTTTTCACTCAACTGCGGATTGATCGCGCTCACATCCGAAGGCCTCGGGATTTTAATCGGCTTTACATTCAAGTGCAAGGTCTGTCTATTTATTAATAATTCATTGGGCCTTGTCAAATAAAATGTTGTTACAGAATGGTACAGTAGTGGGTCCATCTGTCATGGCGCCAATCCTGATGATAGCCATGCATGGGATGGGATGGGGTCAGAAAATCACCGACGTTATGAAAGTTATAATGAAATTCAGCTATCTGAGGTTCTCATTGGTCAGCATGATTACAGCATTGTATCTCGATAACAGGTAATTTTAGCCAAGTTAATCGATTATTAATTTTATTTGGCTTCACCCCTCTCGCTTTTTCCCTTTCACTCCCACTCTACTTTCTACAACCCAATTTTTTAAGCAGGTAGGAATTAATGAGTATGTTATTTCATTTCTACCATGTCACCAAATTCAGTGGATTAATTTTACTGCCTTATCCTTTTCTTAACTTTCACTGCACCATTTCAATGTTAGAGGTTCACAAATGTTAACTTGATAACTCTGTATGCTGGGCTTGACAGTTGTTCAAATTACATCCAGGCATCACCAGAAAAAAATGAACTCACAATCAGTCCTTAATTGGGTGTGACTAACCACAGCTAAGGTTTTTTTTTCCCAGTTTCTCATATTTTTGAGGTCCCAATATGCACTCATTTTATCTGTGTTTACTGAATCCAGATAGAAGAAAACTGAGTGATAAACTGACCTGAGCATGGGTAGTCATAGCTCAGTTTTTTATTTTTAGGGGCCCATATTCAGTTGGTTTATCTGTCAGTTTAACTGAATCCAGATCAGAAAAAACTGAGCAATTAACCACACTGAGCTTGGGTAGCCATAGCTCCATTTTTAGGGCTTCATATCTGCTTAGTTTACCTGAATCCAGACCAGAAAAACTGAGCGATTAACTGAACTGTACTTCGGTACCCAAAGCTCATTTTCCATTTTTAGGGCTCCATATCCGATTTGTGTACTGTCAGTTAACCTAAATCCAGATCAGCAAACTGAGCGATTAACCACACTGAGCTCGGGTAGCCATAGCTCCATTTTTAGGGCTCCATATCCTCTTATTTACTGTCAGTTAACCTGAATCCAGACCAGAAAAACTGAGTGATTAACCACACTGAGCTTTTGTTAGCCATGGTTCCATCTTTAGGGCTCCATATCTGCTTAGTTCATCTGCCAATTTACCTGAATCCAAATGAGAAGAAAACTGAAGAATCAACTGAGTGGAGCTCGGGTAGCCAAAGCTCAGTATTCTAGTTTTAAGGCCCCATATTCAGTTAGTTTATCTGTCAGTTTACCTGAATCCAGATCAGAAAAACTGAGCAATTAACCGCACTGAGCTTGGGTAGAGTTTACCTGAATCCAGATGAGAAGAAAACTGAACAATTAACTGAGTGGAGCTTGGGTAGCCAGAAAAAACTGAGCGACTAACCACACTGACCTTGGGTAGCCATAGTTCCATTTTTAGGGCTCCTTATCTGCCTAGTTCTTCTGTTAGTTTAGCTGAATCCAGATCAGAAGAAAAACTGAGCAATTATCCGAATGGAGTTTGGTTAGCCAAAGCTGAGTATTCTAGTTTTAAGGCCCCATATTCAGTTAGGTTATCTGTCAGTCCACCTGAATCCAGATCAAAAAAAAAAACTGACCAATTAACCGCACTGAGCTTGAGTAGAGTTTACCTGAATCCAGATGAGAAGAAAACTGAACAATTAACTGAATGGAGCTTGGGTAGCCAGAAAAAACTGAGCGACTAACCACACTGACCTTGGGTAGCCATAGTTCCATTTTTAGGGCTCCATATCTGCTTAGTTCAGAAGAAAAACAACCATTAATTGAAGCTTGTGAAGTCACAGCTCAGTTTCTCCATTTTTTTTTCAGTTGTGTCAGTTTTTCTAGATGTTTCACGATCTTGACGTCACACATAGAAACTGACAATTCAACCGGGTGTGTATGGCACCCTTAATGAAAAACAATATTGGTTGTTATGGTATAAAATGAAACAAAATTGGTCATATGTAATTAATATTTTTATGCACAAATATGTTTCTCTTTGAAATTCTATAAATGTACAGTTCAATACAAATATATACATGTATATTTTTTAATGAGTTTACAATTAAAATGGATTATTAAGATTAGGAAGAAATTTTTTTAAAGCAATTTGAAAAGCAATAGATATTTTAATTTTTAGTTAACAATTCAACAAGCAATTTTAAAGTTATTTTATTTTGTTAAATAGGGTCATGGAATGTAAGGACAAATCCGAACCATACTGCCACTATGGTAATGCAAAACTGCTGGTGCGAGATCTAGCCATGGATGGTGGGCAACCTGCACCGCAAATAATCGGTGTCATCAGCTATCTGGTTCTATTCCGAATCCTCGCTTACCTGGCGTTGCGCTACCGTTGCAGCACTGAATATTCAAATAAGATCTTTCTATATCTCACCAAGATCTTAAAGAGAAGGTGAAACATCACCTGTGTTGCATTTTTTCTGTGATCGCACCCCTCGCCTGACGGACGGTGCCTAAATCTGTATATATAAAATTATAATCAACTATTACCCTTCCCTTACAATCAATTTTGTTTGTTCAGTACTTAATTATTATTTTTAATACGTACTGGTTAAAATTTGTCTTAGTTTTTCAAACGCCTGAATACTTTAAGGAAAAAGAAAACATGAATTGTTTCAGGTTTAGTGCCATTCTATAAAGCTCAATTTTTAAAAAGCTCAACAGAAAAATAAATTTGTTGTGTATTATGAGATCTGTTAAAGTTGTAAAATTTAGTAAATACATTTTCTAGTGTTTTATTGTTATTAACTAGCCTTTGTTAATTTTTTTACTGTGAAAAGATATTTACAAATTAATTTATTTGTAAACAAAAAAGTACAAAAGTACAATTTTTGTATTTAATCTTATCAAATTATTAATCACACATTCTATGATGTTTTAATTTTGAACATCTAATTTTTATTTATTATACCAAATATTTTAAAATGTCAATATTAGCAATAAAAAAATGTAAATCTCATACTAAACATAGTTTATTAATATTATTTATTTATTTGCGAGCTATACTCTATTATTACTTTTCTATTTTCAACTTTATATCTGAAAACTGAAAAATAAAATTCAAACAATTTGTTCATATTAAAAGTCATTATATTGGCTTAGCCCACTTTTTATTTATTTATTTTTTAAGCATGTACAAATCTGTTGTAATTCATTATATTTACATTACATAAGCCTGAATCATAAAAGCTGTACTCCCATCAAAGAGATTCAAAATTTAAATGGTTTCCCATTCCCTCATTTTTGTTACATATGTAAAATACAATTTACAAAATATGAAATTTGTGAATCTTTAGTAAATATCACACCAACACCCAACACTTCGTGCAATATTTTAATATTAATTATGACATTAACTTTTTAAAAATTTGATATTCCTACATCACATTTTTTTTGCATCTCCACAGCTATTATTACTGAGCTGATGCACTATCCAGCATATTCCAGTCTTATAAAAAAATGAAAAAAAAAAGCTGGATCGAGTTTAATTTAATAAAGGCTTTAATCATAAAACATTTGGTCGTTGATCCTTCAACCTACGCAGGTGATGGTAGTTCGGAAGAACTTTGGTAAGAAAATCAAGCTGGAGGGTCTGTGGCTTAAACAAAAAAAAAATTAATATAAATTTAAATAATATTCAAACGTACTCAAATAATTAATATTAATTCTAACCGGAGGCCTATCGCCCGCGATGGTCCTGTTGTACTGACTTCCAGTAATGATTACGTTATCGGGCAATTTTTCCTTATAGACAAGTCTGACTCCGGCTCCAATTATGCATCCGTTGCCGACTTCGATGTCCGGCCCAACGTAACATTTAGCTTCGAATACGTTGTTATCACCGATTACTTTCGCCTTTATATTACAGCCTACTTCAAATATATTATGAGAACCTATCATTAAGGTGTTCGGCCTGTCGTTTTCCTTGGGCCTGCACAAAAATAGTAATGGTTTAGTTCACAAAAAGTCTTAAGTCTTCAGCATTTGTACATTATGCAAAATTATAAAGCACACTAGAAAAAAAAAGTCTAATAGAGTTAGGACAAATACGAAAGGACAAAAGCACAGTAAAAAAAGTAAGATTTATGTAAATTAACAGAATATTAAATAACTGTTTTCTATAACCCAATAAATTAGCTAATAACAAGGTGTCTATGTCTAATAAAAATACAAATGAAATTATTTTAATACCAATAAGTCCTGCTTTGAATAATTTTAGTTTGGTCAATTGAATAAAAGAAAAAATAAAGTAATTCCTGTCATATAGGAGGGTTTAATGTACTTTATGATACTAGTTTTCAAAGAAAAATCCAAGGTCTATGCCAGGATTTGAACCCAGAGCTACTAACTTTAACAACTAGGCCACTGCAGTACCTTGGTCAATGGAATAATTCTTTTTATAATAACAACCTTTAATGCAAATTATACACAGAACAATCAGGGAATTTTTTGTTTACTTGTGCTCAATGATGCATTGCTCCTCGACTATGTTGTTCTCTCCCATGATGACCGGGCCACCTTCTGCGATGATGGATGCCTTCGGGTGGATCACGGACCTCGGGCCAATTGAAATGTTTCCTACTAGTTTTGTTTCGAGACATACGACCGCCCCTTGGGCCAACCGTACACTGTGAAATAATTACAAACTATTATTTTCCATCTGTTTTCAAATAAATTTTATTTTGTTACATTTTTTATTATATTATATCTGCAATAAGGAGATTTAAAAAAAAACACAAGTGGCATGAATTTGGGCAACCCATCAATAACCAAAATTAGGCAGCTTAATCGACTGTATGGCATGAACTTAATGGATAACTATGTATACAGTTGGATGCCTGGCCATGACGCATCAATTTTATAGAGGGAGTTGGAATGAAGAGATAATTTGGAGTGGAATTTGAGCTTTTTTTTGCTTTATTTGATTCATTAGTCAAGATACGGAGAATATGGTTACTAATAAAGGTAGGAGTACCAGTAATCATGCAGAGGAGTTTTGACTGGAAGGATTGGATCCTGTTAAGGTTGGAATTTTTTATACAAGTGATAAGTCTTGAGCGTATGTATAGCTACATGGATTTTATGTCAACCTTTTATCCATGTATTTTATTCAAGTATTTGACACAATCTGTTGCAGGAAGTGGAATTTAATTAAGATAACAGGAGGGTAGAGTTGCATTTAAGAGTAAAGGGCACATATTGAGATTTATTTTCATTTGTTTTTATTCTTCATTTACGGAACAACGGTTCTAAGGTAAGGCCTTGGAGGGAGCAAACTGCTAGATAGAATGTAGTTTGAAGAAAGAAAGACTGCTGTATCGTGACTATAAGTAAAGGTTAGAATGTTGAGGGAAGTCTGACATGTATATGCTTAGAAGTATCGGACCTAGGATGTTCCCATAAGGAACACCAGAGTGGAATATATCAGATTGGTTGAGATTCAGTAGGTAACATGGAAGAAACTATCAGGTAGGATTTCAGGATGAAATAATATGCACTAGAAAGGATTGATTTGAGTTGAACACATAGGAGGCACCAGGGCAGAATAATTATTAATACAAATAAATAAACCATTGATTAATAACATTTAGCCCAGAACTAAGGACAGTTTCACACCAGAAATAAAATTAGGGATTAATAAAATCTCAAATTTGAGTTTTTAATACCTATTCCAATTAGCAATTGACATTTTGGTCGCCTACCCTTGCAAGGTGGATCTGTTGGCATTTCGCCTTCAGTGTCTATCCATTTCGGCTTCTTCACACAGGGAAATCTCACAATGAATACTTTGTTGAACTTGATGGTGTTGAACCCTGTAGTTTGGTCATTCCGATCATTTTGGTCTATATTTCCCTGCTGTTATGATCTGTTAGGTGTTTCGGCATTGCACCACCTTTGGTGTGTGGCATCAAGGATATAAGCAGGGAGAGGCAGACTAAAATAATCAGAAATAAGCAAATTACAAGTCAGTATGTATTTACAACTTCAATTTACTAGTCCAGTTTTAGATTGATAATTAAATTGAGATAATTATTGTATCTTATCAATATGGACACCTATTAGAGTGAATTTCACCGTGAAATCATAAAATCTAAATGCCTGATGCGTCATAATAATAAAAAAGATATTTTACTTTCAGATTGCTTGCAATAAGATGCTTACAAAAATTATTTAAATGTAGTATTGATATATCTTTTAATTTAGATTTACTATACTGTCAAGACTGGTTGCTCTTAAACTATTGTGAAAAATTATTGATCTGAGAGCCAGAGAGTTAACCAAATAAATTTTTTATTTTAGTTATTAATTTCCGATGTTGTTGTTTTTTGTTTTTTTCAAAAATTACAGGCCATCACGCCAGGTTACTGGAATGTGTCTTTATAAAATAAAACCAATACAGATTTAATATCTATAGTAATCCTTTACTCTCATTTAATAATGTTCATTTAATAAATTCTATCTTTTAAGGATTGGTATGATTTTAAAATTTGGTCGTTACTGAACATTCTGGTATGCCTACTCTTGCTGGATTGTTCTGTTGACCTCTTCAGTGTGTCTGTTCAGAATTCAGACAGGCACCGAACAGATTGCAAAACGCTGACCCACCCAGCGAAGACAGGCTATATACTACAGGTTCATCACCCCGCAGACTTCAACTTCAACAAAATATTCATTGTGAATGCCTCCATGTTGTCTACATGTCAATGAACCTGAAATACATAGACAGAGCACACTGAAAAAAGCAATATGGCGACAGAACCATCCAGCGAGAATAGGCAGACCGGAATGATAGAGTCACAACCAAATTTCAAGTATCGCCTTGCAGACAACATGGAGAAATTGCACAATTTGTATGATTGTTTTATTATTTAATAAGAATGGTAATTTCTATAAAATTCATTGACTAATTCATCAAAAATTTCATTATGAAATTTGGAAATTTAATTAAGCCAATTGTTATCATGACTTTTGTCAACCATACCATCAACAGTTTCAGTTGCTCCATTCTGGAAAGAAATATTATTTTCATATTCCATTTTGAACTATTTTCTAGGAAATAATTTTTACTTCCAAAATAGTTAATATATTTCATATGAGGACATCCTTTCAAAACGGCTTCATAAATGCTCAATTTATTTGTAAATTTGATGCTATGCCTGAATGATCCACTTTAATAACTGTACAGTTCTTATCTGTGAAATGTCTTATATAAACTTATGAATTATAAGCTCTGGGAAGTCTTTTCACTTTGGTCTATTGACTTTATTGAAAAAGGAGAGGCTCCTTTCATTTATAGAAACGTCAAAAACTTCTGTGATGTGAGATTATTCAAGCAGGTTTACATCAGCAGATACGATCCTCATATATTTCTTTTTTTTTCACTTCAACCAGAGGTGGTAAAACATAGGCAAAATGCTTTAAACACTACACAACACCACCACACTAAAACCATAAAATAAAACTGACACAAATGAAGGAAAAAATTATAAAACAGGCAGAACAACTGAGGTGTTGTTACACACACTCAGTTACTTCTGTTCATGATTCAAGCAAACTGACAGACAAACCCAGTTAATGGGCCCATCTGTTTTATTTTGTTAGTAACCTGTTTGGACACCGTACTATCTAAATTATCAAAATTTATTCAATCTGTATAAAACAAATTAAAAAAAAAAAAAAACTCTTACAAACTCAATCTTTCTCCGAACTCTGCCTACCCTGGAATCTGCTCTGAATTTAAACTTTTCGAACTGGCGGAAGGATTGATTGGCGGATTACTTTGATATTGTTTTTGTATTTAAATTATTAAACATTGATAGTCCTTCTCTCCTCTCTCCCTTAGTCCCTTAGCACATTCTCAAAGCCACAAACTATTTTATGTGTGGTGTTTAGTAGCCGTTACACAAGAAGAACGAAGAACATAGGATTCTATGAACAGATTTCATCTACATATGAACACCAAGTAAAGAGTATTCTGAAAGGCATCGCCAACAATGAGAAGATGCATCGTCTATCAATCAGAGAACTTTTTTTGCTGAAATACAGTCAGCACAAGGCCCTGAAGATGATCTCAATAAAGATTGAAACATTGGCACGATAAAGAAAATGTTTTTCTAAAACCTACGTCACACCAGACCGCATCTCACCATCTCCACCAAATAAACTATTTTATATCAAATTCCAAAGCTCTAACTACATGCACCGCATGATGATCAAAAATGACAACACCTGCAATAGACTTCATCAATAGGTCTGTGCAATCTGTGAAAAACCAAATCTTACAACCCTACTCTAGTTGAATTTTCTTACCAATTTATATATTTTTTAAATACTTTTATATTTCATACTATTTATTTCAATTTATTTCATTTGCAGGTTTACCTGAGCCTTGCACTCGAGTCTTATATTTACAAAGAGCACTATTTTAATTAAATATGTATAAATATTGTAGTTTCAATTGCCTTTCAGCTTTATTTTGTTTCCTTTGCCTTAACTTACTTAATAATTATGTATTTTTATTTTTGTTGTTGTTCAGTTTACTCTTTGAATTGTACTTTTATATTTATCATTTATATTTACCATTTATAATATTACGATGTTTATATGTCCTTATTCTTTTTGTGTGTATATATATTTTATTTTTATTTTATTAAATAAATAAATAAACTTTAAATTACTCCAAGTTTAGCTTTAGATAAGCACACATATAGGATACATAAAACTGTCGATAAAAAATAATAACTACCTTCCTTGGTGCGATGTCATTCTATAATTTATATAATCCTATGAGCCCTACAATATTTCATATGCTCTCAGAACTGACACACAGCATAATACTCCAGAACCTTCCGGTGAAACATAAAAACATGGCTAGGGACTAGTCGATATAACGATACTTGAAAGTTTCTGTGATGCCATGCTGTAAACATCGATTCCGGCCCATATCGGTGCCCGGTATAGTTTGGATTATGAAAATAGTTGAGATTTCGTCTTGAGGTCTGTTGGGTGATGATTTTGTAGTTTGTTTTCCGGTTCTTTTCGATCACTTAGGTCCGTCAAGCGCGTTTTAGCTTCTTGATATCTGTAGTGTACGGTATCAAGGGTATAAGCAGGGAGAGGCAGGTGAACGGACTGAAGTAGTAATAAAAAACAAACGGGGCAGGACAAAGCGGCTGATAAACTAACCATGAAGGGGGTCCTCAGTAGACCATTAGGGCAAGAATTTTTCAGTAAAATTCCGAATTGCCACAAAAATAAACAATTGCTGAATTGATAATGAAAACTAATTACCTGTGGAACTACATCCCTTGACAGGGAGGCGAAAGACTTGGTCGCCAGACAGGCAAATGAATAGCCCCATTACTGAAGATTGAGAGAAGCCTAAAGTCTTAAAAAAAAGTGTCTGAATTACTTTTCTGCAAAAACATTCCAAAAATGTAAAAATGAAAACATACATAGAGAGAAAGAAACTGCAGAACTTAATTATAATTACATATAAAACTCCTAAGGTTTTTTTGAAGACTTAAGCATACCATCTTTACACATTGTCATCCAGGAGCAAGACTGGTTGCATATTAGTTTATGCAAGCACAGGATCCTATAAACCACTTCCATGATACCAAATAATTAATACTAAAAGATATCAGGGGGCATAGTTCACTCTCAAGGCACAGTGTATTTACATTGTGGACCCGGCCTCGTCAGTGGGTCCATAGTGAGGTTGGAGCACACCAAGCCAGTGAGTGAATTTAAACATATCTAGTTTGGGTTAAGTCTGTCTAACCTTCACCTGATTTTTTTTAAACTTATATAGAAGCAGAGAAAATATAATTTATTTTCAGTGACTTTAAACCAATCATTCCCCCCAATTCTTTACTGGAAAAGGTAATTTGGCTCATTTGGGACTTGGGCCCTCACTGAGAGGAACTTCAAAAGGATATATTTTATTATTATTATTATTTTATTTGCACTCCACACATATTCGTACGTATTACAAACATGATTAAAAAATGTTTTTTCACACGGTCACTAACACACCCGAAGGACACATGCCATGAGAAACTAGCCAATGCTGCACTCAGTGTTAGAGGGCAAGGAGGTCACAAGATGGTTGATTAAGGTGACGTGGCGGGTTCTCAAGGTGGGATTGTATAGGAAAGCCTCGAACAGTACAGTTAGGTTTGATTGAGGAGTTGGTTGAAACTTTTGGAATCGGGAACAGATCAGTTCGTTGATAAAAGAAATGTTGAGGTCGTTGTGGGTAGTGAGGTTAATGATGCAATAAAGAGCTTTGACAATTTGTCTGAGGTCTTTTGATTGGATGCGTTCGATGTTGGATGGCAGAACCCACTATGTATGTACAAAGTGGTCATAGTAAAATCTTGTGTAAGTATAGTTTATTTTTGACGTCAAGGCAGTTTTGGTCCTGGAAGTCTTTGTAGTTGTCCAAGTCTTCTGTTGAGTTGTTGCCTTAAGTTTTGTATGGGGATTCCAGGTCAGTCTGCTGTCTAGGTACGTCCTAAATATTTACCTGAATAGAAGTTGGTATCTCTTTGTTTATGTACAATAGAGGGCAAGAGTGTTTTCTCAATGTGAACGTAATTGAGTACATTTTTCTTCATTCAGTCTTGTCCTTCACCTTTTGCACCAGTCTTCGATAAGCTCAAGGTATTCATGGATGTTGGAGGTAGCTTGGATAGTTTTGAGGTAGAGGATAAAGTTGTATCATTTGCATAAGTGGTGATGATGGTATTAGGTAATAGGTAGGTCAGTAGTATAAATGATATAAAGGATGGGGCCGAGTATATTCCCTTGTGAGATGCCGGCTTGTATCACTTCACTCTGAAGCAGTGGTCTGTTGGATCAGGATTGGTAGGATTTCAGGTTAAGATAATAAGGAGTGGGTAGTTATCATTTAACTTTATAAAGCATGCCTGGGTGCCAGACCGTATTAAACCTGTGCTACATGTTATACTAATTTCCAAAGAAGTACCAAATTGAAAAACCAAAAAGGGCAACTTGGAAAGAAGGACTATCAGTCTCTCTGATTTTATTTGGTATATGAGATGCTCAAAAACCAAAAAGGGCACTGGAGTCAGTATGAAAGAAACTTAGTTAAAATGCCAATTTCCCTCAGAAAATTTGCAGTTTTTCAGGCTCGTGGCAATTAACCTCTGTTCAAAAGAAATAAAAGGCTGAGGTTAGGAGGACTTGGAATGACAGACGTGTTTCGCACGGAGAGGCAGACAAACAGACCCATTATTGAAGATGGAATCATGCCGGTCTGACATACTTTCATTTCTGAAAAATTTACGAATACAGCCAGAAGAGTGGAAAACCCCACAATAAATGGAGAGAAAGAAACTGCAGAATCTCAGAAATATTAATCCAGCCAAAACTGTGATGTGAACAAAAGTCCTTGTATAAGTAATTATTTATGAAACACAAGGAGTTTTGTTCACATCACATTAATATGGAGTTCCATAACATTAGCACTAGTTAAAACTCCTAATCAAGATCCTTCAAAGAAGCCTCATACCTAACACCAACTGGAAATATTAATCATACTCTTATAATATAATTAATTAAATGTCATATGCAAAATAAATTGCAAGAAATTAGATGGTTGATAAGGATTACATAAGATTAACCTCTACAGAACTCATGTTTATATAGAAATCGATCTCTACAGTCACGCTGAAAAGAGATTAATTCATACAAAAGTGGATCGAAACATGGTAAAGGATCTCAAAATCTGACAGCTGGTGGCTATTTTCTTCATAGTATTAATATTAATAAATTGATAAAGTACATGCATAAGCAGAACAAAGGGTCTTAATGTAGATGGAAGGTGATCCACCAGAAGGAAGGGAACTTAAAGATCTCCATGGTCAATAAAAACTTATCGAGTTTCTAACTTCTCGCTATCGTCAGAGGTCAGTCCATGTTTATTTTACTTAGGCTACCCTTTTTTATACATTCACAAGCTATATAGGTTAACCTGGATACCCATGAAACAACCACTAAAAAAACAAAAAAAGATCTGCCTATCCTCACTGGGTCGGCTTGTCAGGTGCATTTCACTATTTTCAGTGTGTCTATGTGATGATGTGGTCAAGTCTATTTTATAGCATCAAGGAGGGGGGACACTGATAATGGCAAAATGCTGTAACACATCTGACAAACTAATCCAGCGAGGGTAGGCAAACCAAGATGATTTGTAAGGACCAAACTGTACTAATTTTTTTTTTAATTTGACTACATCTCACCATTTCGGGAAGTTTCATTATGGAACTAGCTTCTGACATATCAATATTATTGGAAATTACCAAAATTCAGGTCTGTCGCCCCAGTATGCGATAGGAAATCTCGTAAAATTATTTTCTCGGTTGTTTCATTTACTGTTTTATAAAAATAAATGGAACAGTTCATTTCATCTAACCCCTTTTCACAATAATGTCGTTGATTATTAAATTGATTTCAATTTTCTGTAGAAATGAAGACAAGTGTACCATCCACGTTTTCATATCAAAATAACTGACACAGCTGCTACAAACTTCCGTTTTACTTTCATTGCTGACAATAACAAATTACAAACTCTGTTACATTGCAAATTTATTCTAAAATAATTTCAGCGAGATTCCCACTGGAGAGATGGTGTTCTCTAATTCTACATTTGGTCATTTTGGTGTCAATTGCTCAAGCTTTTGCCACCTTCGGTGGTGAGTATGTGTCCCTGCCTCTCCCTGCTTATTTCCTTGACACTACTTGGTACTTAAGGTGGCGAATTCCATCTGTTCATTTTATTTTTTAAACATTACTTGTATTGAACCACACTTCAGCACTACTGCTAGTTTTAATAATGAATATACTCTCTTATAAATGTTTTTAATTTTTTAAAAGCAACAATTAATCTGCTTTCATGTTTATACAAATAGTTTAATAAATATGATAAACATCAGTAAGAAATATTGAAAAACAATATAAATACATATAAAAATATATATTTCAATTGAAAACCCAGATATTACTTTTAAAAAATATTTAGTGTTACTTATGCATAGGAATATGTAATTCACATTTGTCAAAGAATTTTTTTTTCAGTTTTGCAATGAGAAAGTGTTTTTAATAATCATATAAAATCTAAAATTGGAAATATCTTTGCTTTATAAAGGTAAATTTAAATTTTCCTATTTAATGATGAAATGATTTTAACGCAGACCCAGGTTATGAAATTATATAATGAATGATTTACCACAGGCAATTTTAATAGAAAATTTTTGTAACCCTAAAACCAAGAAAAAAAGTTTGCAAATTGGTACAATAATAGCGAATATATTTATGTTAAATAAGTTTATTTTTACAATTGGGGCTAACAGTATCTTTCTTTTTCTTTCTTTTTTCCTTTGATGTCAGAAGTGTCACTTCAATGAGTTTATCAATTAACAGCTTCCTCCGCAATTCTTCAGGTTCAATTTTATTGTTTGTTCGCTTCGGCGTGTCCGTCATTTTGGATTTGTTTTTCGGTTGGCTTTTACTCTTTTCTGTACATTTCTTAGTACTGGTTTGACTGGATTTTCTTTTAGCCGTTTTACCTTTATTACCAAGATTACCTTTATTACCAGCTACTTGCGAATCGATGAGAAGTGAAATATTTTTAACAGATAAATAATTATTTTTTGTCCCATTTTTTCCTGGTTCGCTTCTCTTAGGAGACGACTTTTCTTTCCTCCTAGGTGTACCTACTTCTTCCTTAGAATCATTAATGCTCCTATTGTCTATTTTTGGCCGCTTTCCTTCAGAGCTTTCCTCATCACTGCTTAGGCATATCGGTTCATCGGCTGGGTCAAACGGTTGCTTGCAGGACTGGTGAAGCTTGTTCCAGACAGTGTTTATCAACCTGTCATCGTAATAACATGTAAAGTTGGCCTTTACAAACTCCTAAAGATACAAAAAAAATTATTTTTTCCATTACTGTAACGGAACATCGAAACCTTTACTGACAACAAATTTTTCCTTTTCAAATGGAACCTGGTGGCTGAACTGTTCTAAATTCTTGTAGAAGTTGAGCTGTAGAAGTACGTTCGTCAGAGGTTTTTCTACCACATCAACAATTTCAATCTCATCACTGTAAGATAAAAATATGTATATAAAAACATTTAAAATATTATTTTTTAATTATATTTTAGTTACCTTTCTAAGGATGCTTTATTTTCCATTAAAATTGTGTTTGGTGTTAAAATCACACCTGAAATAAATTTAATGAATTTCAATGTGTAAAGCAACAGAAACCGATTTACAATCATAAATTGCGCAACAAAATCAATTCCTCGATTGACTGTAATCAAAACCCAGCATTGTTTGAAACACTGGACAAACTAGATAAACCGTCAGTTTTCCTCGCTTTTAGTGTTTTATCTCTTGGTAGCTCTTGAAGAGGAGAAAAATGAAAAACAAGTTAAAACTAGCAGAGTATGAACCAAGGAATAGTTGGGTAAGAGCTTTGCTGGTTGTGTAAACCTGTTTGATTTTTTTTAACAAAAGAAAGGAAGCTTTTGCAAATGCAAGATTTTTTATTCAAAGACGTGACTGATGAGCTGGCGACTAACCAGAGGGAGTGAAGTCAGAGCTGAAAATTTTGAGACTTAGCAATGTTTTTTTTTTTTTTTTTTTTGGGCGAACAACATGAAATCATTTCAGCCCCCTCTCAATATTCCGCCATCAATCATCTCATTTTTTTTTTTTTTTTGGTGGTTATTGGTATATTGATGTCACAAAGTATGTCACCAACTTTTTGGGTCTGAGCGATTACCTGAGTTCAGGTTGTCAGTTTTCCATAGAACTGAAGTAACTACACAGTTATATCATAATAAAAATCTGACATTTGGCCTGAGATCTCTTACTCCTTAGTTGTCTCGTCGCCAGTTCGTTCAGGTAATCATTTGGTCATGCCTTTGAATGGAAAATCTTGTGATTGCCACACAGCTTTTCTGCATTTATTGAAAAGTACAGACTAAGACAGTGTGTTTTGTAATTTTTAGTCTTACATGTCTAGAGATGTTTTCAAACCATTCTTTGGTTCATTCTGCTTTATTAGGTCTGCTTTCTACTTTCATCCGCTAGAGTTGACCTCACTACCAAAAAGCCAAATACTAATTTGATTTGACATCCATGCCACCCAGTTATTTGACACAAGCACATCAATGATGGCAAGGAAAACTGTCACAACTGGAGGAAAAAATTATGGAGTTGAAGAGAAATTTAACTGTTATTTCGTTCAGTTTTATTGAATCTGGATTCATGCTAAACTGAGCATATATGGGGGGGGGGGGTACTTGAATTGGAGATGATTGCTGATTAAATTACCTGTGGCTACACCAAACTGAGCATGAGAGCCCTCAAAATGAAGAAACTGACTGAAAAAACTGAGGTGATGCTTCACAAACTCCGTTACTTCTTCCAGTCTGGACAAACTGTCAGATAAACCGAGTATCTATGGGCCCTACAAATAGAGAAACACTCAAAAAAACATGCTCAGGATAGTTCAGTTTATATTTACGATCAGGATTCTGGTAAACTAACATAAACACTAAGCGGTATCGTGTCCTTAAGATCGTACAAACCCTGAAAGAGCAACAGAATAAATAATTTCAGAATAATTAATTACAGAAATAATAATTAGGAACTACAAATGGTCAAGTAAAATCATATATTTACAAATGAGAACATTTATGTAAAATCCAAAGGTCGATGAAAATCAAAACAGCGATCAAATGATTACCTTTCTTGTATTTTAGCTGTTGTTTTCTTTTCGTTTGTGCAATTTTGCGATCCGTCGAATTACTGACATATTAAATATTCAAAGGAAATTCTATCTTCTTAAAAAAAGAAAGAAAATTAAAATATACTGTTCAAAGGGTTCTTCAAAAATCAACAAGAAGGTTGCACTGTTTGCAGTCAGCAAACTTACGATTCCAACAATCGATCATACAATCGAAAAGAATCGATATAATCGATTCGCACTAGATTTTTATTCAAGAGTGTACTTCTAAAAAAGAAAAAGAAAACTGGTTCATTTTATAAAAATTTGATTAACAAATAATTTAAAAAGGAAGAATAATTTTTAGTTATATCATAATATTTAGTTGGTCGTTTCCATTTTCCTTAATTTAGGTCGTGTTTCTGCCTTTCCCTGCTTATATCCTTATATACAGGGTGAATTGCTACTCGTGCTACAAACTTCTCCAGTAGATTCTTCACCCTAAAATGAACAAAAAAGTTCATATTGTCCATGGTCCGATTCTCAACCATTTCAGAGTAATTTCGCTTTTTATCGATTTTGAAAGATATCACGTCCTGGCGTCGGAAAATCGTGATATCTTTTAATCTAAACATTTCTCTTAAAATCTATAAGCACCGTTGAAATCCCCGTTAATTTTTAGAGAGAATCAAAATCATAATTCCATTGAAATTTTTTAATTTAATTTAATGCCCATTTAGTATGTAATGCTTAAGAAGTTTACAAACAGCTAGAAGGTCAAGGAAGAAAGACCCAAACGTTTTGCCACCTTCATCTTCTTATTGAAAAATTAACGGGGATTTCAACGGTGCTTATAGATTTTAAGAGAAATGTTTAGATTAAAAGATATCACGATTTTCCGACGCCAGGACGTGATATCTTTCAAAATCGATAAAAAGCGAAATTACTCTGAAATGGTTGAGAATCGGACCATGGTCAATATGAACTTTTTTGTTCATTTTAGGGTCAAGAATCTACTGGTGAAGTTTGTAGCACGAGTAGCAAGTCACTCTCAAACATTAGCAATCCTTGAACCACCATTTTTTCTCTTTTTGTCATCAACATCTTGGTCTCACAACCACTAAATAAGAAAATGACGAGTGCGTTGGAAGCGTTATTAAATCAGGTAGTTTTCCTCAAATTTGCTGCCTTCTGAGACTAAAATTAGAAACTCTGGATTACTTTATACACTTTCCGATTTACACAATTTTCCACTCTTTTTGTAGTTCTGGCTGAAATAAAACACAAAAAATTAGCCCAAACATTTTGCCACCGTCATCTTCTTATTGAAAAATTAACGGGAATTTCAACGGTGCTATTAGATTTTCAGAGAAATGTTTAGATTAAAAGATATCACGATTTTCCGACGCCAGGACGTGATATCTTTCAAAATCGATAAAAAGCGAAATTACTCTGAAATGGTTGAGAATCGGACCATGGACAATATGAACTTTTTTGTTCATTTTAGGGTGAAGAATCTACTGGAGAAGTTTGTAGCACGAGTAGCAATTCACCCTGTATATATCCTAGATGCTCAGCACTGAAGATGGAGAGAAAGACTTACCAGAATGATCAAAAACGGCCAAATAAAGATTCATTCAGACCTCAATAGGCAATCTCACAAGCATTATTTTTGTTTAATCTGTAATTATCTAACCTTTGTATTTAATTAGAAATCGTGAGATGCGGTCTGGTGACTGGTGTGATGTAGATTTCAGAAAAACATTTTCTTTATCGTGCCAACGTTTCGATCTTTATTGAGATCATCTTCAGGGCTTTTCTGAAACCTACATCACACCAGACCGCATCTCACGATTTCTAAATAAATATCGATTAACGGTCACTAATCACTATGTTCATATACATGTAGTAAAATCGAAATGACAGGAAACTATTCTAAGAGGAAGTCCCTCCCTACTCAACTCTTCTTATCTTCCTTGGTTTATTCTTCCAATCTGTATTCAGGTGGGTCCCTAAAAATGGAGGAACTGACGAAAAACTAAGCCTTAGCTACAAACGCTCAGTTTAGTTAGTAGTTCAGTTTGTTCTTCCAATGTGCATTTTACTTAGGGGACACGAAAAATTGAGAAACTGAACGAAAAACAGTTCTGGTTACAAACGCTCAGTTATTTCTTTCCATCTGGACTCAGGCAAACTGACAGATAAAGTGAGCATTTATGGGTCCTTAAAAACTAGACGAACTTGATTAAGAACTGAGTTGTGGTTACAAAAGCTCAGTTTAGTTAGACGTCCACTTTGTTCTTCAGACCTGTATTCAGATAAACTGAGCAGCTATGGTACCCTAAAAAATGGTGGTACTGGATAAAAACTGTTGTCGCTACAAAAGCTCAGTTTAGTTAGTCGTTCACTTTCTTCTTCAGATCTGTATTCAGATAAACTGAGCGTCTATGGAACCAACAAATCGGAGAAACTAGACGAAAAACTAAGCTGTTCACGCAAACGACAGTTAGACTAGTCTATGGGTCCCTAGAAATGGAAAACTGGACTGTGGCTAAAACGCTCCGACACTAAAAATGGAGTAACTGACGAAAAACTAAGCCTTAGCTACAAACGCTCAGTTTCGTTAGTAGTTCAGTTTGTTCTTCCAATGTGGATTTTACATACGGATCACCAAAAATGGAGGGACTGAACGTAAAACTGAGCTGCGGTTGCAAACGCTCAGTTACTTCTTCCGATTTGGATTCAGGCAAGCTGACAAATAAACCGAGTGACTATGGGTCCACCAAACTGAGGTTGTAGCTATCGTTTAGTTTGCCCTTCAGTAAAACTGACAGTAAAATGCCGACTTATATTTTAATGTAAACATCCAATCTGGTTTTATCACATTGACTTTTACGCATCAGTCGCAAATTAACTGATTTGCCTATTATGTATGCCTATGTATAGTATATATAATTCGCCTCCACACCAGTTCCTATGATCAACGGATGAAGAATCTTTTCCTTCCACGCTACATATTGACATTTTTAAACCAAGCACTTATATGTAATTGATCAGGCGGAAATTCGGCTAAAATCGGGGGGGAAATGACCAGATAGGGAGAGTGTGAGGACAATGCGGCAGGCAGGAGATTTCAGCAAACAACCTATGCCATTTGCAAACATTGCCTGCGCGTAAAGGGGCCTGAATACATCAAGCGATTGGAAAAAATTACAAAAACAAATGTGTTGAGTACCTGAGTGGAATGAACTGTCATACAGGCAAGAAGGGGACTTCGTAGATAAATAAACTACAAACTAAAAATTAAGAAGGTCTGCTGAAAACAGTGAAGTAAGGTCACTAGAGTAACTATGCGGGGGGGACATAACCATTTCATGTACTATGACTTATACTGGGATTGTATTGGAAGAAAATAACTTGAACGTTTTTATATAAGAAATGATTGTAGGCGTTGTCGCGAAAGAAAAGATAATTCGAATTAGTTTAGTGTTGTTTCGGAAAAATACGAAAAGAGATAAAATAATCAAAGATGAGTCCTCCTTGAAATGGAAACTCAACGGAAGCTCTCACTCCCATTAATTCATGCCACGCAGTTCTGAAATTCTTCACTTCGCCAATCAGTTCCGGATGGTACCTCGAAGGGTCCCACCCTCAAAAGCAGAACATTTTACCGGATATTTCGCAACTTTGTCTCCAATCGGCCCAAAGGGTGGCTCGAAGGCCAGACCATATTTGGAAACCGGTCCGTTTCGGATGACTCAGGGGCGAAGCACGTTAGTCAGGTGTAGACATCTTCCGACACGAAAGGGCCTTGCAAGGACGAATGAAACCAATAACGAACCACCTGTGGACAACAAGAAAACAAACTGTGGACAAAGACGGTCCCTGTGAATAGGCAAAGGACAACAATAAAATGCTTCCCTTAAAAATGCCATAAAATCGTAGGAAGAGAAAAAGCATACTTTTTCATTATGTCCTATGTTCAGTTTCATTCGATAGCATTATAGTTCATTAATATCCTAGTTTAGTCGTCAGTAGTAGTATCAGGTAGTATAGCATTCTTTCGATGTAAGGTCTTGGTTGAGATAAAAAAGTCAGCGTCACGAGCGGGTCTCTGACTTTTTTTATCACAACCAAGACCTTACATAGAAAGAAAAATTAATTGAAAGAATTAACTTGGTCAATTGTCCACTAAAACGTAAAATGGATTAATAATAAGTTAATAAGGATATGGATTAATAAGTAAAAGATCACTTCAAACAGCTCCCCGTGACCACTTCATAAGTCGCTGAGAAACCAATCCTGATTACATATTTGAAAATGGCAAAAAAGAGGGAAAATTTGTACGGCTGTAGGTTGAGATGGAGAGTTGGTGTCCGAGAGGATCGAAGTCACGATAGTGGTAGAGTAGCAGCGTATTTACGCTAAGGTCGTGGGTTCGAATCCCTCTCGTGACGCTGACTTTTTTATCTCAACCAAAACCTTACATAGAAAGAATAATTAATTTAAAGAAATAACTTGGTCAATTGACCACTAAAACGTAAAATGAATTATATTTATGTGTGCCTATTTATTTGTAATGTTATATATTGTATAGTCCGTCCCGCGATATGATAATCGTGCAACTTTTCACGATTTAAAACAGTTTTATCGAACTCAGTTTAGAGAATGCAAACAGTCAAAATATTAATGTCAGTCGAGAGGCGGGATCTATTGGAGGCATGCTTGGCATTAAGGTTATAAGCAGGGAGAGGCAGGCGCATAAACCCACCTCTGAAAAAATTATGGTTACGGTCTTTACAGAAATTCATTCGTACTTAATGAAAACATGTACACAGTTTGGTAATTTCGAATAAATTTCGTCTATCTATCCTCGCCATCTTCAGTGAGTAGCGTCACGGGTATAAGCAGGGAGAGGCAGGCGCACGGACGCACTACTGAAAAATAATTACAGCACTCTTTATGGAAGTCCGATCGTAGTTAATAAAAACATATATTTTAGTAATTTCCGATAAATTTGGTCTGCCTATCCTCGTCATCTTCAGTGCATCAAGAAAAATCAAGATAAAAAAGCAGGGAGAGGCAGGTGCACGTCTGAAAAAATCATTACTGTAGTCTTTATGGAGGTCCAATCGTAGTTAACAAAAACATCTAGTTTGGTCATTTCCGATCAATTTGGTCTGCGTATCCTCGTCATC